AGGCCCTGAAGGGCACCCTTGAAGCCGGACTAAGGCAAGTAAAAGCGACTGTCAGCTAACCCATGGAATCCAGTACCAAACAAAAGCAGATTGAAGCATACGCACGCTTTGCTCCGGCTCCTCCCTGCGCTGACGTTGTTCCGGCATTGCGACCCGTTAATAGCAAACCTGGTCAGCAAAGATGGAAAAACGGGGGAGAGGGGGAAGAAGAAGAAGAAGAAGAAGGAAAGGAAAAGAGGCCACGAAGGAACACGAAGGCTAACGGCTGGTTGGTTGGTTCTGGCCCAGAAAAGGCGCGGCGTTTTGGCCCTTGGCGGGTCCCGGCGATAAGCCAGGCGGAAGTGGGAAGGGAAAGCATGTCATAAATCCCTCCTCCGCGGATTTCTCCACATCACCGATCTGCTACGAATCCGCCTAACTTGGAGAAGAAGCACTGAGTCGCGCAATGGGCATGTTAGCCTCATGAAGGTCGGTTTTCATCCCAATGGCGGACAATCAGCCCTCTCCCGATTACTCCCGCCCTCAGTTTCCTGCTCATAATGAGCCGCGGGTGTGGGTTATCACGGCCGGGGATTCTCCCATCGGCATCTCTGTGACGCGCCAGATTTTAATGCATGGCGACTATGCCCTGGTTGGACTGGCGCATTCGAACCTGGATCGCGATGAATGTCGTCGCGATATGTTCGATGCTTTTCTCGCAGAAATTGAGAGTAATGAAGGATGGGGGGAGCGATTCAAGGCACTGCCTCTAGACATAAGGTGTGATTGGATCTTAACCCTCCTCACCATATGACAAAGGCTTATATTTATTTACAGGATGGTCGGCGAGTGCCAGGCCATAGTGGCGCAAGCAGTCGCTTCCTTTGGCAGAGTAGACGTTCTTCTATGCTGTACCAGCCAAGGTTAGCCTTCAGCAGCCTCCAAAACCTATATCTTGCACATCGCTAAATGGCATCGTAGCCCTCATCGGAACAGTGGAAGAGCTCTCGGCCTCACAGCAGACACTAAATCTCGTCCGAGACCAGTTTGAGAGCAACTACTTCGGACCACTCAACATCATAAAAGCAGCGCTGCCGCACATGCGAAGGCAAAAAGCAGGGCACATCACGATCCTCTCCGGCATCAGTAAGCACGACTCCTACCTCCCACATACACCCATACAGGATCTAACCAAACGAACAGCCGCTCACATAGGTACACCCGGACTGGGCATGTACTGCGCAGCCGGATGGGCTCTCGAAGGCTTCTGCGACGTAAGCCTCACCACATGCATTCCTCCATTGTCCAACCTTATCGCTAACCAATCCATCCACCAGAGTCTCGCGTACGAGATCGCCCCATTTAACATCAAACTCACCATATTCCAATGCAGCATCGAGATCGGCATTCTCACAAACCTAGTAACCAGCGTTCCACCCATTGGACCCGTATACTCATCCGCAGCTAACCAGGCACCACTATTCCGCGGGATCATGAACCGACTCGTCTCACGTCTGTCGAGCAACACGCAATCATCCGCAGAAACATCTAATGGATCGAACCAAGGAAACTCTATTGAAGACGGTCCGTTCTCGGCTTCGGAGGTTATATCAACGTATCCTCCGCTCAGTTCGGCGCATATGGAGGTGCTGGTGAGTGAAACAGTCTATGCTATCACAGCTATCGCCGGCCACGAGAATCCCCCGTCACGACATATTGTGGGACAGGAGGGTGTGGCGAGTGTAAAGGAGAAGCTCAAGACGGTTAGTGAAGAGCTGGAGGACTTTATTCAGGCGAGCTTTGCTGTGGATTATGCGGCTGATGAGGCTGGTCGGTCGTCTAAGGACGAAGGTATGATTATGGGTATGGGTGCTGGTCATGAGGGATTTTAGTGGTAACGCATGATATTTATGTATCTTGATGTGTTTTGGATAATTGATAGGTAATACTATGAATGAGAGAAGTCCGCTCATGTCTATGATAGAGGTATCATGAGGGACTTGCACTAATTATGTTGGCGACACCGCCATGATCTGAGGGAATGTCCAAACCGGGAGAAAGTAAAGCATGTTAGCATGTTGGGAGTGTACATAGAAAGGACCAGCCATCCTATTTACTTCCCAGCACGTTGGAACCAAGCTTGTCTCATCTCCCATAAACTACCCATATCCTGATTATTCCGATACGCACGGAACTCTTTCCAAGCATTCCCATTAGGAACGTCCGTAATACGACCATCGACTTCTATAATCCTCGAGGCAAGTGAGGTAAGCCCCTGAATATTTTCAACCAATATCTCGTCCATATTGGCGTCGGGAGCGTCCGCAGGAGGTGTCTCCTCCGTCTCTTCTGTCGTTTCCTGAGGGGCTTCAGGCACTGATACGGACGGTTCGTCTGATACTTCGCCGGCGCTGTCCGGCTTCTCACTTGTTGCTGGGGAGATTTCTGCAACCTCTGCGGACGAAACGGCCTCTGCCGTTGTTGAAGGGCAGGCGGTTTCTGCTGCCGCTTCGATCGGATTTTCAGGCACCTCGCTAGATGATGCCGCTTGGTTGTCGGCTTCTGGGGGTTGCGAACGCTGTCGTTTACATTCACCGTGTTCACCTTCACATTTGCGCTTCTTAGGGGAAGCAGGCTCTGTCGTATCGCTAGTGTTCAGTTGGACGTTAGAGTCGGCTTTAACAGCATCACTATCTTGCTGCTGGTCACCAGCTTCCCCATCGGCTTTTGTGCCATCCGCATGGCTTTGCTTTTGCTTGCTCCCGCTGGAGACAGCGGGAAGAAATACACGCTGTCCAGGAGGAATGACGAAGTTCAGCCGTGCACCCTTAATGCCCACAATCTAGCGAGTTGTTAGCAAGTCTGACAAACTCGAATCAAGATGCGATAAAGTCCCCACATACCCTAGCTTCCTTCTCTACGAGGACTCTGTCGGCACCTTTGGAAAAGCATCGCGAGTACTTCCAAACATCGCCCTCGCGAACAACATTATGGTCAATCAGCGTCTTCAATTTCACCTGAGAGCTTTGTCCTGCCAACAGTGTCTTATCCATCTTCTGTTTCTGTCCCCAGAACTCTTCGAATTCTTCCTCCTTAAACCTGTCAAACGCGCCCGCGGCCCTCTCCTCCATAGCCAGTTCCGCCTGGCGCAACCATTCCGGATCATGGAAACCATTCTGGAGCTCCAATTGAAATTGCCGAATACCTTCGCGCCAGTTATTCGAGTAGCGTAAGAATTCCTGCGGAGGAGGGGGGATCTTCACATCGGCATCATCATCCGTTGGCGGGTTAGGGTCCGGATGCACACTATCCGGGAGAAGTTTTATAATCTCTTGCTTTTTGCTCTCTTCGAGACAGTTCCAAGCTTTAGGGTTGGCAAGTAGGCCCTGCTCATTGTTGGTGATTAGCATGCCATTCCCGACATTGCGCCAGCACTATCGATAGTGCCATATCTAGCGATTCCAACATACCACTAAATCCGCATCAACCAACGGTGACTTCGTACTGGTCATCACCTTCTCCTCCTCCCATGGATCCTTCGCGGCTCTTCTAGGATTCCGCTTCGGTCTAGCATTGGTAGTAGTAGAAGATGGTGGCATCGCGGAGCTCGATTCGCCGGCATTACTCTGTTCAGCCGCATTCACAGAGCGAGAGGAGCGGCTTCTGAAACATTCTTAAGATCAGCGCTCTTTCACTAAGTCAGTGACGGCCTTCCTCTGCGGTCGTCATATGCATCTGGTTCCAGACACAAGAGGGAAAGAAGAGAACGCAAGCATTAGTTGGTTTATTCGTACCTTGTTGTTGGCTGCTGCTTCGCTGCTGAACTGCCGCAGTCGACCGCCTTGCGAGGGCGGGCCATTGTTCCGCGGGCCTGGATTGGAGATCTGGACAATACCCCGAAGTCACCAACCTACCACTGCGTGAACGGAAGGAGTGTTTAATTCGGTGATAAGACGGTAAATAAGTATCGCCACGATGGTTAGGTCAACACAGATTGCCAGAATTGATGGTAAGATGCTGCCCGGTGCTTGTTCAGGGGGAGGAAGAGTGAGGGGGTGAGCCAAGTGTGCCGTTTGCTGATGTTACGAGACAGGCTTGATGCTGGCGGCATCGGTGGATGATGAGCAGGTTAGTTCGATCCAGGGCGCATTCACTGCACCATTGTTGCTTGATAGCTGACAATAAGGAATCTTGGTGTTCTTCTCTAGGCCGAAGTGGAGCTCTCTGAGATCAAGTCTCAGGCTAAGATGATCTTTCGCCGATTGAATCGCAATTCGGCGCCGCAAGCCAGTATTGAATCCGGTCAATTTAATCTACAGTATGTTTTGGTGTTTGAATCTTGTACGACGCAAAACTACTCGGTGCGAGTTGGCTGACCACCGGAGTTAGCTATCTTATCAAGGATGATATCTGCTTCCTTTGCATATGCGATCACTCCTATCCGCGCAAGCTTGCGTTCACCTATCTGGCCGATCTCGCAACCGAGTTCACTACCACATATTCCCCGACACAATATCAATCCCCGACTCTGCGCCCATACGCCTTTGTGGAATTCGACACCTTCATTCAGCGCACCAAGAAGCTCTACCAGGATAGTCGCGCGTCGCAAAATCTCGACCGTCTGAACGATGAGCTCCGGGATGTGACAAAGGTGATGACCAAGAACATCGAGGACCTTCTATACAGAGGCGATAGCTTGGAGAGAATGGGTGAATTGTCGGGCCGTCTACGAGAAGACAGCAAGAAGTACAGAAAGGCCGCGGTACGGATCAACTGGGAGTTGTTGGTCAAGCAGGTAGGTTCTAAGTCTTGAGGCAACGGCAGACTTGTCGCTAACTTGTCGCAGTATGGTCCTGTCGCGGGTGTTGGGTTTATCTTTCTATTCCTCATTTGGTGGCGCTTCTTTTAATTGCGGGCAAAACGGCTCCGAACTCGATACCCGCTAATATGATTGTATGCATAGATAATGTCTCTGGTGGTTGCAGGACACCATCCCCCTAAGCCCAGGACTTGAATCAGCTCGAACAAATATCTGGCAGAGCTGTTGGACTGTATATCTTAAGTCGTCGCATAGTTGTAAAGAGCTTGAACAGCGAATCCGTATCCTTTTATCGCACATGGCCCGTGTTGCAAATGACGTTTCCATAAGGAGAATCCGCAGACGGTCGAATGGTGCCTGGTGCAGTATATGAGGGGCCTGAGTGTTGAATAACTCGAAGCAAGTAAACCTAGATTTCATCCTCCTCTTCGTCAAAATCGTCCTCTTCACCCATGTCGTATAAGATGCGTCCTCCTTCACCAGGACCGTCGCCCTGCTGGGCATCGAAGTACGGCAGCACCACACCCTCTCGATCCCGTCTCTGTCTTTCGGTAAGGCGCAGTTCGAATGTTGATTCGGGTTCTTCTTCGCCTGCACCAGCGTCCGGCTCCTGTGGCGGGCGGTACAAGGGATGGTCGTCCAGCAACGTCACGATCTCCTTCAGGTATTGGGGAGGGTAACGAGAAGCGGGAGGAAGGAAGTACCATTCCAGAACGCCACGACCACTCTTTCTGCGGTGCTCCAGCTCAAGTACAATCCCCTCTGATGCGTCGTGGCCACTCGGTTTGTCTAGTCGGCCAAGGAGCACGCCATCTTGCTCTTCTTCAAGACCAAAAACAGGCGCGGCCAAACTCCGATCGCGTGCCGCTTTCTGCGCGAGAATATGCGAGAATGAATGGAGTGTGATGATTGTAGTTGCAAGGTACGTCAGCATCGAGAGGGGCGAAGGTGCGTAAGGCGAGAGAGCAGGTGGGCTGGGAACATCCTGATGGAAGTTTACCACGAGCGACACGTCCACCTTGGGAGCCGTGGGATTCGACGGGATCAGGAAGGAGCTGAGGAACTGTGATATATGGAACTGAGGGTCATTCTTTTTCGAGTGTAGAAGCGGGTTAATGGCGTCGATGAGGATGAGTCTCCCTTTGATATGTTAGCCGCTTCACGATACAAGCTCAATGGAAGAAGCTCGGAATAGGCATACTTCGAGAAGGGCTGTTCGACGAGACATTTTGGTAAGCAGCGCCAACTGCTCTTAGAATTTCCAAAGGACTCTTCCGGCGAGCGGAGATGAATGCATCGACACCGTCTGGGGCTTTCAATGTTTCAAAGGCAAGGAGGGTTACATGAGTCCTGGAAAGCTGTTGCGACAGTTAGCCAGATCGGCAAGGATGACAAAACAGGCCAATTGTTCAATGGCATGGAGGCCATTTTGAGGAAGCCTCTGTAGCTGACTATCCACTGTAAAACCAACTTCACGATTCCTAGAGCAAATAGACTGCCTACCTTTGCACGTCGAATGTATTCTTTGGTCAGTGGGGTCGCGGGCTGCTCTAGTGAGTCCAAGACCAAAGTAAGCGGTGATGCAGTGTCCCTCAGGCTAAGAAGCTTTGAGATCAAGAGCAAATTATGGGTCTGTCGGTGAGAAGTGCTTGCGGGCGCCATAGTTGGAAGTTAGGTAACGGCGACATGCAGCGGAAGATCGGGAATGGGAAAATTGAAGAAAATCGGAATCGGTTCGGCACAAAAGATTGCGGGGTCCATGAATCAATCGAGCTATGGAGGGGCGCCCAGGATTTCCAATGAGCGATCTCGCTGGCGTTTAAGCTCAGGGCTGTCGTCGGCCCACCCGCATGATGTACGTACTACCGCAGATAAATTATTCGGGGACTTTAGAGAGATTGATGGTCAAGAGCTTTACAAGGGGGAACAATTTATACTCCAATATAATATAGTATATTCCTAGCAGAATTCCAAATTTGATCTTCTCTATACTTAAGAAAATTGTGGCCTGCTATTAAGATTAAGTAAACACATACCACTAGTTATACCGCAGATATCGCATAAATCATAGGTGATAAAATGTACTAATAGTTCCCTCTTTTTCATAACCATATGTGTCACTATAGACACTCTTACTGACTCATTGAATAGTACTATGATGATTCTTTCTTTCTTCATTGAGTTAATAGGGTCTATATGTTGAACTTGCGTAGACCAGGCTACTGTGACGCAGTGTACTATCGATACTACTACTACTACTACTAGCTGAGGTTGAAGTTCAACACTTAGTAAGTAGTATCACTGGTTACTAATACAGTACTGAATACTATATTGATACTGCGGATACTACTAGTAGTACGTATTACTAGTAGTGTTGTCGGAATAAAGCTTTACGAGGCTTTCCCACTGTCTCAAACTAAGAATATACTTCACTGGATCACCAAGTTGGCCAGAGCAGCCACATGCTAACAATTGACACCTGCCACAGCTATCAGAGTTACTTTTAAGTGACAAATTACCCCCAAAATAGTATAAAGTCAGTTTAAGCTGTCATGTGAGACTTCCAAAGTGAGAGTGTACCAACGGGCCACTGGACCTACCTGGGAATTTGGTTATCGCATATCTCCGGCAACGATAAGCTGGCCGCATCAGTTCTCGGAACACTTGGTTGTGTGTCTCAATCTCGCGCTTACTCCCCTCTTGTGAGGGAAAACTCGCCAGTCTATAAACTTTATAGCAACAAAATACTACAAACAATCTATCCATCTCTTTATTCATATAGTGAATGGCCTGGGTCGCAAATCGGCGGTGGTTCAAGGCCATCTGACAAGCCGCGCAGTAGGTCGAAACCGGCTACCGTAATAATCTTCACGCCTTCAATCTCGGGACCTGACTTACGGAGCACTTTTTCTCATACTCAGTCAAGACTACAACCACTGCGTGGCGCACTTATCTCTATCAATTGACATTGAAAACTAGGGAAGAAAGGGTAATGGACTGATTACTTTGGATATCTCTTTACCTGCCGCCACATCCCCTATTCCCCCCTTCCCTTTGAACCGCTCCTGCGGAACCACACGTGCACGAAAGAAAACAACGCTCCATCAGCACAAAAACTCTCACAGATACCGGCCTCAAGATGACGGAACCACCAGCGAAACGTGCTCGCCGAGTCGATAGCTCAGCTATGTGGGATCAAGATGATAGGAGGACACGTTCACCCGAAGTAGAACCAGATTATACCAGAAGCCCTCGCCGGGAGCATATTGCGAAAGATGATGGACGACGCGATGGGCCTCGCGATGACCGGAGATACCGTTCTCGTTCCAGAGATAGGAGGGACAGGAGGCGAGATAGAAGCCGGTCCAGGGATCGCCGTGACCGCGACCGCAGAGACAGAGACAGAGACAGAGATGGACGGGGAATGAGGGACAGAGAAAGAAGTGTCAGTCGGGATAGGCACTATGATAGACGCGGTATGCCAATAACAAAACCAAATCCCTCTGAACTACAGATGCTAACAACACATGAAGGCTACCCTTCGAAAGGAGACAGGTTCAGGTCGCGATCACCTATTCCGAACGGCAACAGGGACCGGTCGCGGACGCCGCCACCTCGCGGACCCCGGAATGACCGCAGGCACGATCGCAGAGATCATAGAGGGCAGACAAACGGTGCTACGGATGCGAAGTCGGGTGTGAACCGGCACAAAGATGAGATGGATGTGGACAGTGACGGTGCTGGGGGAGAAGACGATGTCGAGGCAATGATGCGCCGCAGCATGGGATTCACGAAATTCAGGAGCACGAAGAACACCAAGGTTCCCGGGAACGACATCTATGGCGTCCGCAAGGAGAAGAAGACGGAGTACAGACAGTACATGAATCGTGTCGGAGGATTCAACAGACCTCTCAGTCCCTCGAGGTGACCGAAAGCTTCTGTCTCCCGGCTACCCTCACGATATCATCGGTCGTCGCTTGCTCATATTCTTAACTTTGCACTTTCGATTTCTTCCACATCTCTAAATGTTTCTTTGTTGGGGCGATATCAATTTTCATGCATGGCTGGAGTCAAGATCTATGGAGGGCTTTTTCTTTTGTTGTCGCTCGACTGTTTTTTTCAAGCAAATAAGATACCTTTCAAAGCCTGTCTATATCCTTGCATTGGTTCTTAGTAGGTCGAATCAAGGCAGATGTAATATAATCAAGACTTATCAGGATCCTCGGCACATGACCTCTGTGACGTATAGGCCCCTCTTTAAAAGACTTGCTTCCGACACCAATTCGACTCCCCGACATTACTTTTGAATTTCTCGTCATCTCGCCATCGTGGCTTCTCTGAGAGCTTTAGCATCAAGGATTGCGCCATACCACAAGATGTCAGCTTCTGGCGAACGCCGTGAAATTGTGATCGTTGGTACGTGTGCGCCGCATGCGCATCAATCTACTTATCTCTGTCTACCCCGCACAGCCCGGAATATGCGTGCTAATGGCTTTCCCCTTAAGGTGGTGGTATCATCGGATGCTGCTCAGCTTATTATTTGACCAGACATCCTTCTTTTGACCCTTCACGGCATTCGGTGACTCTCATTGAAGCATCCGACATCGCAGGAGGGGCATCGGGCAAAGCAGGAGGCCTTCTGGCATTGTGGGCTTACCCGAGCAACATCGTCCCACTGAGTTACAAGTTGCATGCGGACTTGGCTAAGGAGCACAATGGCAAGGAGCGATGGGGTTATCGAGAAGTCAATTGCGGACAGCTCATGGCAAAGGGCCGTCCTCTCAGCGACAAGAAAGACGCCAGCGCAGGAGCGAGTGGGAGCTCGGTGTCACTACAGAAGCGGAGCGCCGATGCCATGGGAAAATTAAAAGCTGCGAAGTTTCCCAAGGATCTAGACTGGTTTGAGCCTGAGGCTGTGAGAAGCTACACAAGCATGAGTGATCCTGGAGAGACCGCCCAGGTTCATCCTTATCTCTTCACCACTTCTATCGCTAAGCTTGCCGAAGAGAAGGGTGCAAAGATAATACTGGGCTCCGTTACCGGCATCGACTATTCCGGAGATGCGGTCCAGTCAGTATCGTATACTGACAAGGAGACGGGTGAATCGTACAGCATCTCAGCAACAGACGTTGTTGTTGCTGCCGGTCCCTGGACGAGGTCGGTCTTGCCAGAAGCCCCTATTACGGCGACTCGCGCACACAGTGTTGTTATCCGGCCAGTTGAACCAGTCAGCGCATACACTCTTTTCACCAGCATTGACCTCCCGGCCAACTTCGATCCGACGAAGCCTTCTCGACCTGATGAGGCCTCGCCGGAGATTTATGCTCGCCCAGACAATACAGTTTATGCATGTGGCGAAGGTGATCACGTCGTTCCGCTTCCGAAAACCAGCGCAAATGTGGAAGTAGATCAAGTGCGATGCCAGGATATCATCAACCAGGTCGGCAGCATCTCTGATCGACTCCGTGATGGCGAAGTCTTAGCCCGACAGGCTTGTTACTTGCCCAATGTGGCTGCTGCACGCGGGGGTCCATTGATTGGTCATACTGGCACCAAGGGGCTATACCTTGCTGCTGGACATACTTGCTGGGGCATACAAAACGCCCCCGGTACTGGCAAGCTGATCAGCGAATTCGTCTTCGATGGTGCAGCTAAAAGTGCGAAGATCGGTTCACTGGATCCAAGGAACTTCCTGTAGAATAGATTCCTGTAGATACTATTCTGCACGTCGAATGCATAATTTGCAGGTAGAATTATAGTTCTCTCTAGCAGGAGCTTATTGCAGGCTGCAGGACCCATTGTCGGGGGGTGGAGCTTGGGCCACGTAATTTGCGGAGCGGAGGCCGGCCGCTCCAGCAGATGCCAGATAGTAACAACGAACGCGCATTTCCCATGAACTGAACCGCATCGGTGTCAATTTGCCCCCTCCATGATATTCCTCAGTCCCTGAGGTTTGAAAATAGCTCTGGATGCTTTCGATATAGAAAATGCATCTTTCTAAGATATCCGCATTCTTGACGCCGGTACTCAATGCCGCTGCGGTGCTTTCTAGTCAAGCTCCGGCCGATGATCTCTCCGTTCTAAGCAGCGAGGTAGCGAGAGCCAACAACCAGTCTTTACTATGGGGCCCGTATAAACCGAACCTCTACTTTGGGGTTCGCCCTCGCATCCCGAACAGTCTGTTTGCAGGATTGATGTGGGCAAAGGTGGACGATTATGCCACGGCGCAACAGAGTATGTGTCCGGAACAAAGCAAACCGGTCTCTTCCTAACAATTGCATCCGCCCAACTGTGAACTGACCTTTTTCCAAAAGACTTTAGACATACCTGCGAGCAGAATGAAGGCATGGCTGGCTATGGCTGGGATGAATACGACATTCGGAAGGGTGGCCGCCAGACAATTCATGATGCCGGAAACTCCATTGATCTGACGATCGATTTCGTGAAGGTCCCCGGTGGACAACATGGAGGCAGCTGGGCTGCTCGTGTGAAGGGTGTTCCGCGCGACGATGCCGATCCCGATCAGCCCACAACCGTTCTTTTCTATGCAGGCTTGGAGGGACTTGGTAACCTGGGCGTTGAGGGTCAACCCGAGGATCCTTACGGCTTTGCGGGTGATGTTAAGTTGGGTGGCTTTACGACGGATCTCGGCGATTTCTCGA